TCGTGCAAGTGGTGAGTGTGCGTGTGGGGTGTGGGGGTGTGGGGTGGTGGGTGTGTGGGTGTTGTGGGTGTGTGGGTGTGTGGGTGTGTGGGTGTGTGTTGTGTTAGTTTACATCTATACTGTACATGGGTGGGTCTGATTGTGTGTGTTGTGTGTGTGTGTTGTAATTTTTTTGGTGTGTGGGGGTGTGGGTGTGTAGGGTGCGTGGGTTGCGTGGGTGAGTGCGTGGCGTGCGTGCGTTAATTATTGGCATCAAGTTTTTGTCTGAGTCTGCGTGGGGCGTGGGTAATTTACTGAGGTTTTTCTAGGGTGGTGATGGGTGGCGTGCAGTGCGTGCGTTCGATCTTTTTGACTCAGCTTCTGATAATTAGCAACATTTAGTCATCGTGGGTTGCGTGTAATTCGCGTGGCGTGTGAGTAGTGCGTGGTCATTGTGAGTGTGAAGTATTTTTCGACCCGTGCTGTGTGAGTGATAGCGTGTTGCGGGTGAGTGTGCGTGTGCCGTGTGGAGTGGGCGTGTGCGTCGTGAGTGTGAGTGTGAAGTGTGCGTTGTGAGTGTGAGTCGTGAGTGTGCGTGTTATGTGCGCGTGGTATTGTCGTGCTTGTCTGTCGCGCGTGTGATGGCGTGTGCGGTGAGGTGCTAGTTGGATGCTCAGTTGCTGTGGCGTAGTGCGTGTGCGTTGCGTGTGCGTGGCGGTGTGCGTCATGTGCCACGTCTATTACCTCACGTGTTTATCCAGTACTCGTGATATTGGGGTGCGTGTCGCGTGGTGCCGTGTGCGTGTTCGTGTGCGTGTGAGTCGTGCGTGTGGTGTGGTGTGCGTAGTTGCGTGTGCGTGGCGTTGATCCCGTGCGTGGGGTGTGTGTGGGGGTGTGTGTGTGTGTGGGTGTGTGTGTGTGTGTGTGTGTTGTGTGTGTGTGTGTGTGTGTGTGTGGTGGGTGTGTGTGTTGTGTGTGTGTGTGTGTGTGTGTGGTGTGTGTGTGTGTGTGTGTGTGTGTGTGGTGTGTGTGTGTGTGTGTGTGGGTGTGTGTGTGTTGTGTGTGTGTGTGTGGTGTGTGTGGTGTGTGTGTGTGTTGTGTGTGTGTGTGTGTGTGTGTGTGTGGTGTGGTGTGTTTGTGGTGTGTGTGTGTGTGTGTGTGTGTGTGTGTGTTGTGTGTGTGTGCGGTGTGTGTGTGTGTGTTTTGTGTGTGTGTGTGTGTGTGTGGGTGTGTGTGTGTGTGTGTGTGTGTGTGTGTGTGTGTGTGTGTGTGTGTGTGTGTGTGTGTGTGTGTGTGTGTGTGTGTGTGTGTGTGTTGTGTGTGTGTGTCGTGTGTTTGTGTGTGCATGCGTGCATGTGCGTGTGTGTTTTGCGTGTGTTGTGAAGTGTGTGTGTGTGTGTGTGTGTGTGTGGTGTGTGTGTGTGTGTGTGTGGGGGTGTGTGGTGTGTGTGTGTGGTGTGTGGGTGTGTGTGTGTGCGGCGCTGCGTGCTGTTGCGTGCGTGCGTGCGTGCGTGCGTGCGTGCGTGCGTGCGTGCGTGCGTGCGTGCGTGCGTGCGTGCGTGCGTGCGTGCGTGCGTGCGCGTGCGTGCGTGTGTGCGGGTGTGGGTGTGGGTGTGGGTGTGGGTGTGGGTGTGGGTGTGGGTGTGGGTGTGGGTGTGGGTGTGGGTGTGGGTGTGGGTGTGGGTGCGGGCGTGCGGGCGGGCGTGCGTGCGTGCTTGCGTGCGTCGGACGATGTTTGATGATGTTTGATGATGTTTGATGATGTGTGATGATATGTGTACATGTATACTGATGAGTATCAATGAGCGTTGATGTGTGTGGGGATCTGTTTTAATTCTTGTGTGTGTGTGTCGGTCGATGCATGTTGCTATGTGTGCGTTTTCCTGTGTGTTGATATATGTATTGACAGGTATTGAATTATGTTGATGTGCATTGATGTGCGTGTTGACGCGCCTCTTCCAACTCCCACCCCTCCTTCTCGGCTCATGTTTTGATCTAAACCTTTCTATAATTAGACCCTTTTTGGAAGCCCAACCAAGCCTCTTGGGCACATTTTCAACCGACACTTATTGGCAATCGAACCTTCTTTTAGCAAAATTCCTATTTGCAACCCCTCCCTTTTCGAGCCGAGAAGGGGGGATTGGAAAGTTGCAACTTTTGGGTGCTTTTGGGAACACAAGCTCTGACAGAACGTTCATGGGTAGCGAAATGCAAACGGCAGAACTCCTATCGGGTAGGTTCTGTGTCCAATTGCATCAGTTTTTCTAAGCTTTCAGTATCGTGGCGATGGCGCTTCGCTTCAAGATGTCATGGAGAAGTTGCTTTCAAGTGGGTCAGGCAGCAAGTTGATTGTATGGAAACTGTGGACCTGCTGCACCCTCTACCCCACATCTGAGAAATGCATGGGCTAAAAACGGCAACTCAGACATGACTTCAACAAACAAATCTGACAAGCCATGCCGTCCAAATGTGCAGTCTCTCGCTCATTTCCTGCAGACATCCGTTTGCAAGCAAGATTGTGAACTCGTTGCGTGCACCATTCTGGCGCTTGCAGCCCGGAGCTGCGTCTCCCAACGACCTATTGTTGAAGCGGGGGAAGGCGGACTGAAGTTGCAAGGCCACAAGATTTGCTACCGCTGTCTTATCTAACTTATCTAACCTCGATAGTTCGTGAGCCGTCTTGGTCGCCACCGTCCCTCCGCCCACACCCTGCCCTTCCAAATCCATCACAGCCGTTGCAGCCCCACCAGTCCATGCCCACTTTGCTTGAAGGCTCATGGCGCAGGCTTGAGCCTCTTGAGTGTGCAGAGTGTGCGACTTTACATGGCCATCCTTCCACGTGGCATTGCCAGCTCTTCGTGGGAAGCCTGACTCGCCAGCATCGCACCACGCCGCCCGCCACGCGCCCCCGTCCCAAGCCCTCAGACCCACTGGCCTCGAAGCCCGGCACCGCTCGAGCCCACCGCTTTCTGCAGGCACGCGTGCATGCACATGTGCATGCCAAGCGTGCGCTGCAGAAAGCGGTGGGCTCGAGCGGTGCCGGGCTTCGAGGCCAGTGGGTCTGAGGGCTGAGGACGGGGGCGCGTGGCGGGCGGCGTGGTGCGATGCTGGCGAGTCAGGCTTCCCACGAAGAGCTGGCAATGCCACGTGGAAGGATGGCCATGTAAAGTCGCACACTCTGCACACTCAAGAGGCTCAAGCTTGCGCATGGGACTTCAAACCTCCATTGATGTAAAAGAATCAATGGGGCGGAGGGACGGTGGCATTGGGCTTGGTCGAGGACCAGCAGGGCTTGCAATGGCTCAGGATCGGTCAAGCAGGATGGAGGTTTGACGAGGGGACATTCGGCGGTCAAACAAGTCTGGCTGCACCAACGCCGCATGCCTGGGATGAACCGGAGCAGCGACGCAAAGCCACGGTGCTAGTGGATGGAAACCACCAGCACCAAGGCCCAGCATCACTACGCTTCCGGCAGCAACCCAAGCTGCGGTGTTAGCGCTACCAAGCGCGTCTGACAGCCGGCTATCCCCGTCCTACTACAGCTTCATCTTTAGTAGAGCTACAACCGCTCTTGGATCTTGTGGCCTTGCCCTTGCACGCTAGATCCGCACCTTAGGGGTCTCACATTGCCAAATGTTGCCCATAGCCATAGCCACTCGACTTCGGGCTGGTGGAACCTGCCTGAAGGGGAGTCGCAGGAAGTCACCAAAAACAGTGGAGTGATTGATCTGACAAGCGTTTCTCCCCGTTTAGTCCTCGTAGCAAGACTTACCGGGCTGCCACCTTTCAGACTCGGGCCTCAACCCACAATTGTCACAACCAAGATCAACAGACTCAACAGACTGACAACCATCACACTATGATAACTGCATCGTGGGCCTTTCCTACTTAGAGCATTGGGCAACACTACTTTTTTGGGGCTGGCGATCTTCGCCGGCCCGCGGCCCATGTTCATTGCCACTGGCAGCGTGGCAGGCCTCGCTGGGTTTTCTGTGTTGAAGGCTCGCTCTGAGCTGAGATTCTGGTGGCCCCATGCCATGCTTGCTCACTGCCCCCTCTAGATTGTACTCACTTTTCTTGCTATTCATTACTTGGGCTACCCTGTTTGTATCTGTTTGTCTGTTGCAGAACATGGCTCTGGAAAACTGCAGATTCTCAGGATCCATGTGTGCCCTGTCGAAAACGCCGAAAGTGTTCTGAACCGCTCCGGCCTTTCAAACATCGACACGCCTGAACCCCGCAAACCCATTCCAAACCGTTCCGAACCGTTCCAAGCCTGAATCGCGAATCCTGGAAACCGTTCTGACCGTTCTGAACCGGTTCCTGAACATTAGGAAAACGATTCTGGAGACAAGTGAATGTAAATAGTTCCTGAGATAACATGCCTCCAACACAGAAACTCCATGTTAAACAGCCCTCCGGGCTGTCCAATTCATTACACGTTGGGTTGCTTTCAGATTTCGACTAGTTTCTTCATGTTTTCTTCTGTGCTTAGGTGAAACGCTCTTCAGAGTTTCCCAGATTCCCCCCGCCGTTGTGTTTCAGTTGTTCATCGGAATTCCATTTGAGGTCCAAGGCTTCCTGAAACGCTCCTCCTGGGCTCCCGACATCAGTAGCTTGCCACAAACTGCTGACCTGGAGCTCGATTAGGGCTGGGTCGTCGTGTCGACAGCCAAGCCCTGTATGAAGCTTTCATTCACATAAGCCAAGTGTGTGATGCCGATTCCGCATCGCTGTGATGGCATGAACTCTACCCCATAACCTTGCGCCGTACTCCCTGGCTGACTATGGCTATGCTCACGGGGTGCGGGAAGCCCCCATGGCTAAGAAAGCGACAGACAGAGACAGAGAGGGATAGAGCGAGAGACAGAGACAGAGAGACAGACAGACAGACAGAGGGATAGAAACTCTCTGACGAATTGGAGATAATATTGGCTCGGCCCTCGAAAGTCCTCAACCCAAGCTGAGCTCGGGTCTCCAAACCTTAAAGCGTACCCGAAGCCTGCGGAACCCAAGCTGTCCTACCGCTTGCCTGGTCCATAGCCTGCAGGGACCTGGACCTGCAAAGAGCAACTCGCCCAAGACGGATTCTTGGGGTTCGGGATGGTTTGGGCTTTGCTTCTTGGGCTTAGGCTGGCGCGGGCCTGCGGAGCTGAAGCTTTCATAGCTGTGGAGTGTCAAGCAATGTCACGTCGCAGCTTTTCCCTTCTTGTTGTATCACGGGAAGTTCGAGTTGCGCCGTAAGATTGGCAGTTCAAGCTTGCTTGGCTTCACGGGCTCCGCTCGATCCTCAGGGGTCCGAGTCTCTCGATTCTTCACATGCTGCAATCTGTTGCAAAGCTGTTGTGAAAACTTGCAGCCTTAAGGCTGGACCCGATCCGAACACATCGCAACTCGAGAGTTCCAGTTCCGCAGCGCTGCAAACGCCCCACCCCACCGCACAAGTCCTAACAATGACACAGAACCGGCTCGGCCTGCAGCATCTGGCCTTCCTCGGCAGTTGGGCTTTCAATGTTCGGGGCTGCATCATGAGGCGGGGCATTACTGCCCACAGAGAGGGCTTCAACCATCTCGCCCCTGGAGGTGCTAGACATGCCTGGACTGTAATTCTGCAAGGTGACGGGAGTCTGCACCTGAACCATCTGGCCGGCACTGACACCTGGCGTCAGGCCTATACCCAATGGCTTACTGGTAGAGAGAACCAGAGTTAGGACCGTTAGGACTGGGCACTCCATGGGCTCCAAAAGTGACACCGCGATCGAAGCATTTCTTTCAGTGTAGCGATCCAAACAATTCGCTGGACGTGGAACCCTGCATCCCAAAAACCCGTCTCGAAACGGAACATCCTTGAATCACACAATTCATACAATCACACGACCACCAGCCGGTCACCAGCCCCGTGAGAAACAAAGGACGGCCTTGCGGCACCGTCACTTGCAACTGTCGGCTGCCTGACCGCCCAGTTCGCAACTCTGAGGTCGGGAAAGTGTTGGGGTCAGTGCACGTCTGTAGAGCCGAGAAGCTTTAGAAGCTTGCATGGACCAAACAGACATCAATAAGTCATCACACCCCAGGATCAGAGTCTTGCCTCATGCTGGTTGCAGACATACTCTAATCCATCCCTGTCTAAATTTCAGCGCAGGACGTTGCATCATCCACATGCCATGCTTGGTGGTATCCCCGCTGTTTGTGTTTATCGTTCTTGGCGGCTTTGGCTTGCGCAGAAGGTTGCGTGGTCATGACGTCCCCTGAATGCTTGGGAACTGGTGCCAACTTCCAAAGCCTTCCAAGGCATCTCCCAAACCTCTCAGCCGCTCTTCAAGCATGATCTACGAGTTTACCCAAAACCTTGTCCACCGCTCAAGCCTGGCAAGGCAGGGGCCCCGAGAATCCCTTCAAAACATTTCAAAACATCCCTCGAGGGTTTCGGGGGGACTGCCCGTGGCGAAGTTGTCCAGAACAACAAGTTCTCAACTCGGGGTTCAAGGTGTCGGGCTGGGTTGAGATGTACCTGAGTTCGACCTGTGGCTCAAATACTACTGCAAAGATCTCTCCGGGATCTTGCTGGCCATGTCCGTGTGGCTCAAGGCGCAAAGCTCAGGAACACCCCTCAAGCCGCCCACTCTGACAAGGTCAAAACTTCCAAACTTCCAAACCAAAGCACCTTGCATCTCGAGCATCGGTGTCGCCCGCAGCTCTCGCGGATCGATGGAAGGCCGTGAGGAGCGGGAGGAAGCACTGCAGACGGCAGGATGCACACGCTTACGAGTGCACTTGAGAATTTGTGTTAGCTTCTCGGAGTACTTTAAGCATGGCCATCCTTCATTGAAACAAAATGGCCTGCTTGCGGGCGAAGTGTAACCACGGCTGGGGCTTTAGGTCAAAAGGTGTATGGGTATAGGCTTGTGTTGTGCTGCTGTTTCGGGTACATGGAGGACATATACAACATGTAAAACAATCTCGTTTTCCGCGTCCCCCCCCCCCCCCCCCCACAAAAAAACAATGACAAAATAAAAAAAAAAAACCCTCTCCTACCTGATGTGCACACTCTCGAAAGGGGCCAGAGCGTTTTGGTTGCAATTCTGGCATCGTTCAAGGGGAAGGAGGGGCATCCCTCCTTCCCATCCGCATCCGAGGCACATGCCCCCGAATCTCGGCCCTTGGGCCAACCAACTACAGCGCTGCCAACACGCATGCCCCCATCTGGGGAGGGAGGTCGGATTTCAAATCCGCCGACCCCCGTCCGCGTCAGTGAAAACTCACCCCTACGGCAGCCCACCGCCCCCACTGCCTCCACTGCCCCAGGCCCTGCACTTGTAACAGAAAACCGCAACTCAGGTGTGTGCTGGAACGTAATCGTGGCTCATAAGTGTTGTGAATATGCCCCTGCGACCAGCCCTGAAAACTTGCTTTAACGCGTTCAAACACGGATGTTTCCCCTGCGACCAAATAGCTCGCGCCATGGCGCATGGCGCGAGCTATCTGGTCATCATGGCGCAGATGGGGTGCTAGTTGCTTACGACGTCACCCTACGAACGCGAAGGGAGGACATGCGACAAACTTCTAGGACCCTCACCAAGCCCTAGTTACGAGCACAAAGGGAAGGGACATACGTGTCCTAAAAGTGCGGTCCCCAAAACTTGGGTGCTATTTGCCCCTAAAAGCATAATGCTAGTTGAACACGCTCGGTCCCCAAAACTTGGGTGCCATATGCACAAATGGCTCGGGCCAGCGACCAAATACCTCGCACCTGCAAATTTTACCACATTCTAGAACCCTAGAACCTTTCGCAGAGCAAGCAGAGTTGGGTAAACAACGGTGCAAACGTTCGGAACAACATAGGATGTTTTTGCGCTTATATAGAACCTTTTCGCAGAGCGAGCAGGGGTTTTACCCAACTCTTCTTGCTCTGCGAAAAGACTTCGCAGCCCTTACAAAATGTGGTTCAAGTAAATAGAGATGTTTATCCCTTGTGTGCTGGTCTCCATAGAGTGTACAAGCGCAGAAAACATCCCATGTTTTCCCTGACGTTTGCGCTTTCAGAACAGTGTAGAAGTAAAAACATATCCCTTAGAGGTTTGTTATGTCCCCTGCCTTCGTGCTAGGGCTTGGTGAGGGCCATTATGGGGCCACGATTACGTTACCGGCACGGGCGTTTGGAACCGTTTGAAATGCGGGCGGGCTTTAGGACCACGATTACTGAAAACTTGTGTTTTAACATGTTAATGCACCCTGGATGTTTCCCCTGTGACCAAATAGCTCGCGCCATGGCGCGAGCTATTTGCTCATCAGGGCGCACAAGAGGGCTTACGACGTCACCCTGAGAGCGCGAAGGGAGGGGACATACGACAAACTTCGAGGGCCCTCGCCAACCCCTACGAGCACAAAGGGAGGGGACATACGACAAACCTCGAAGGGATATATGTTTTTACTTCTACAGTGTTCTGAAAGTGCGGTCCCCAAAACTTGGGTGTTATTTGAGTACGAGCGGTCCTCAAAACTTGGGTGCTATGAGAATAAGCTCGGTCCCCAAAGAGCAAGATGCTAGTTGAGCACGCTCGGTCCCCAAAACTTGGGTGCTGTTTGAGTACGCTCGGTCCCCAAAACACAGGATGCTAGTTGAACACGTTCGGTCCCCAAAACTTGGGTGCTATGGGAGTAAGCTCGGTCCAAAAAAGCAGAATGCTCGTTGAGCACGCTCGGTCCCCAAACCTTGGGTGCTGTTTGAGTACGCTCGGTCTCCAAAAAACAGGATGCTAGTTGAACACGCTCGGTCACTCTCAAATAGCTCGGGCCATCGACCAAACAGCTCCCGCCTGAGGTGTTTTCACGCCCGGGTTGTTTTACCTTTGGCCATGGAAAATATCGAGGAAGCATGGGCGGATTGGTGGTTTCTGAGCATTTGGGAAATACAAAGGTTTACAAAGAAGCAAAAACCGTCACGCCTCGGAGCCTCGCGGGGCAAAATTCTCCTTGCAAATTGGCCATTGTATGGGGGAGGGGTCGGCACGGCAGTTTAGGGTAACCCTAATAAACGCCTGTCAAATTTTAGGTCGCGTTGTTGTTTCACGCGTTTCCCTTTCTCTGCAATCTTACTGTTTGGGGTCTTCGCCGGCATAATCGATTACAAATTCGCCTCTGCTTCCTGCCGAGATTTGTTTGGAACAAGCAGACACGGATCCGGTCTCCTTTCCCCTGACCCAACCCCTCCCCCCATGCCAAATTTTGTGATGCACACCCCCTCCCCCCCGCCCTGTGGGACCCCCCCCTCGCTTGGAGGAGCTGCAAACCGATGCCGTGTTGGGTCCGGCCTGTCAACAGCTCCTTTGGACGGGCTCTCCAAAATGCAGACCTTTGCTGGGACCCCCCTTGGAATTCCCGGAGCCTCCTGGGACCCTTCCTGGACCCGCCACCTTTTTTGATGCCTTTCCCAAAAACCCTCTTTCCTCCTTTCCTGTCTGTGGGCCGGCCCGGCTGCCGAGGCGGCGCGCGCAAGCGTTTGCAATTAACATCGAGACGTGAACAGAAAACACCAATGTTACGCAGGCCAAGTACAGCATTTCGGATCGTTCACAGTCTGCAAAGGCGGCAAAACGCACAAGCCCAGTCTTCCCCCCCTTCCATTGACAAAAAGAGGTTGATGACTGGGCATCGGGCTTGTGCTTGGCATCTGCTCGTTAGAGGCTGCTCTTGTATTGCGGTGGGCTTACGGCAAAGTCACATTGCATCATTTCAAGCTCCCAAGACCTAGGAACTAGGCGCCGCACATGCTGGACCGCGCATCATCAAGGTCACAGAACTTGTGGTGGAGCGATGGGTCCAAATTCCTGCACACTGCACAGCCCGCAGCCGCCCTAGCCCTATAAGGCCCTGTCTCTTCAGAGAGCATGTCCCCGCCCAGTCCTGGCTGCAATGTCACTACAGCCTGGCGGTCCCCGACCCCAGCAACCCTAGCACATCCCAGCATGAAGCAGGCCTGAGGTAGTCAGGCTCCTCTGCGAAGCACATGATGATCGTGGATGCCTGCTGCAAAGTCTAGTTAAGGTTGTTTGGCGCAAGGTCGCAGGGTTTTGGGAGCGAAAAGCTGCCTTATCCGACCCCTACACTGCCAACATAAACTGTTTTGGGGAATGATTCGGAATGATGCGACGTTGATCTCCAAAGCTTTTCAGGCAACTGTATCTGACTCTGTGCAGCACCGCACACCGAGGATTTTCTGAGGCATACTGGGACAAACATTCACGATCGGGGATCGTGGGCCAGGCCTGCCAGACCCAGCACACGATCCACGGACAAAAGTATCAAAAGGACACGTGCCAGTGAGAACTATCTCGAGGCTGCGAGTCCTCGATGCAAAACATTTGCAAACCTTCAGCCTTCAGCAACTCACTTCGGCTTCAAGTCCGAGGTGCGCCGCTCTTGAGGGGCATCAATGCGGCCCAGGAAGTGCAGAGCCCCAACCACATGCAGATCACCACCACTGTCCAACGTTCACCTTGAGTACCTCCAGTGCTCAAACCACAGGGCATGCAGCCGAATAGACCGAATGGGGTAGAGCATTCACAGAGCTGCGCCCTGTGGCTTCATCCGGAGCCTCTATGAATGCAAACAGTCCCAAGCTGCGGCCGCTGCAAAGTGACGCTACAAAGTGCCAGCAGTACGAGTCTTCCAGTGAGGCTGCTACAAAAAGAGTCCTGCAACATCCTGAAACGGCATCGAGCCCCCACGCCCCCACGCGTGTGCTCTCTGAGGGCCCTGCAATCTTGCGCAGTCATGCTGAAGACGAGGTAGCCAGCACCGCCACCTCTGCCAACAGCCAGCCCCCTTAAGAACTGAGTGGACAGCTTGCCAGGATGGCGCAAACCTACGTTACAAGCAGAACCCTGATGCCTGCTGCCAAAAGCTTGTGATCCCAATGCATCCCATGATTCCCGTGCCAAACCAATCACAGGTGAACATTGTGGACAACCAGAGGCGGCCTGCACACAAGCCGGCTGGCAACCTCGGCAACAAAGGCGTCGTGTTTTTGTTTTTGTTTCTGTTACGTTCTCGTGAGGTTCTCGTGATGTTGCAGGTGACGTTGCAGTTGCAAGCTTTGAGGTACTACTGAGGTTGAGGCTTGACATCAGACGGCAAACCATCCACACAACTGGCCAGACTGGACAAGCCCTACCTGGAGATTTATTTGACTCATTAGAGCCTGTCGTTCCTACTACCAGTCCCACCATGACTTCGGCGACTATCACTCTTTCACATATCGCACTGCGACAACTTTGCAGAGTCTAAGACTGAACTGCCATGCAACGCCTTTCAACCCCTCTCAACCCCAATTCAGCCCCTTCTTCGAAGAGAAGGCCTAGCGGCGCGCCCAGCAGTGGGACCATCCCGACAACGCTACGCGAGACGATGCTGTCAACTCCCGCCTGCCAAAAGCAATCTCAGCCTTTGAGACTCCTCTAAGGCATAAGGCGAGACTATAGACTGCACGTAGGATATTCTTTTTGTATGTGAGAGGGGTGGTGCTATGCCACTCTAAAGAGGAAATCACAGCAGTCTCCAGGCAGCCCTGAGCGCCGGGCATGCACAGCCAGCGCAAAAGTAGCCTCAGCACAGGAAAATTCAGCAGTCGTTGTTAACAAAAAGGAAAAAACGCCACAGGCCTGCTGCAGAGGGATTTGGGCACGGCGTCTGTGATTGACGATTCCGGGCGAGTTGACTTGATGGGTGGTTGACTGCTAGCGCTAACTTAATCCAACTAATTCTTCTGAGCATTCGTAACACGTGGTGAACAAGAGGTCTTACCTGCGCAAGCGCTGAGACGAGCTGGTTTTTTCAAAGCGCTCGTTCTGTACGACACTTAGCATACTAAAGACAAAGCCGACACATTCGCGCCGGCGGCTACGTTTCGTGTTTTGCCACGGAGCACTGCATGCCTGGAAGAAGGACAAGCCGCGGAGGGCGCACTGCACGTAAGCCCAGCCTTAGCGCTACATTCAAAATGCTTTTGGCATTCTTCTCAACTAGTGGGCCGAGAGTGCGACTCAGTGCGACTCAGTGCGGCTCCATGCGACTCAACGCGACTCAGTGCGACCTCGCGACTGCAGACCCACTCCATGATGTCGCCGATGCAATCCTTAGAGACAAGTTAGAGCGGCATATAGATGCGGAGCTTCATGTGCAAGGCCACAGAGCTCGAGGATGCAACATGGAGCAGTGAGGTTGAAGAACTGATGTCGGATGCTCGCTTGTCTGGCTTGAGTTTGATCTCGATGCTCGAACTGATACCCGCAACAACTCACACCCCCTGCAGATCCCTAAAGTGACTTGTGAAGGCTCAAGAAAATTTAGGGGGAGCCTTCTGCACGGAGATTCACAGAACCTGAATTGAATACATTCATAAACTTTAAACCCTCAGCTCAAGGCCCAACCGAAGCCCAAAACACTTCATGTCTGAGCGGGCGTTAGGGGGTGGATCGTCAAAGCATCAGACCAGAGACCCTAAAGTTAACCCACTGGTGGCATTAGTCAATCCTCCGGCCTGCAGCAAGCTTCTTGCACGAAACGCTGCAAACCCTTCGTTTGGAAGCCACATAAGCCCCACCCACCACACACGCACACACACTCGAAACCTTGATGACTCACCCAAGTCTGAAGGGCTATACAGGTGGGAAGCGATAACGCACTCCACCATCAAGAGGATCAAACAGAGAACGATGTTTCCGTCCTGCCAACAGCTGCGAAGGATCAGAAAAAGGTTAGGCAATCAACATCTTTCGGCTTTCCGGTTTGGTGCTTGTATTTTCCCAGGCTTGGGAGGGGTCGTAGGTAAGGTTTCCGGGTCTACCGGTGAGGGGCCACTCTACTTGCAAAGGCGTCTGTGACATGCTCACCGAGAAACCTGGAGCCGCCCTTGAACACCACCACCCTCTCTCAACCACAATTTCTGAACTTAAGTCGAGAGAATTCCTCACCCCCGAAACACCTGTGAACCCTGCTGGATTCAATTCAAGCTCCCAAAGAAGGCAAACCTCTACAGCAATGACAGGGATTGAGCCAGCTCTGGAGCGTTACTCCCCGAATTCTTGCTAGCTAGATATCTGCTCACCAGCGGCTCCTCCTGAGCTTCCCTTCGAAGCGTTCTGACCAGAAGCTCCTCTCAGTCTTGCCATGTGTGTTGCTGCGTGCTGCTGCCTAGACATCCTAGAAACCTATTGGGCCTGTTGCAGGGCCAAAAAACGTGCTTTGACACAATATGTTTAAACGAACTGAAAATGTCTTATGAGTGTGTTTTTTGAGAAATCTTTGTGAGTTGCCGTTAAGACGTTAAGACAGTTGCGTTGAAGCTTTGGGGTTAACTACTTGACCCCACATTCTGACCGAAACACATGTGAAATCAACTGAATGCAACTGAGGTACAAGGGCCCGGATGAGGGCCACGATGAAGGCGCCGAGACAGATAGATCCTTGGCTGAGATTTTGAGAGGGTCAAGTAACAAGAACATGTTGCAAGAACAATCTGTCTCGGAATGTGTGTAGGCGTGCTCTGTTCTACGATCGTCTGGGCCAAGCTGCCGAAGGATGTCGTGTAGGCATCCTTGGCGCGGCTGTGAGGCTCGAGTGATGTAGAACTTCAGCGCGCTTCTTGCGCAAGTGGGAGGCGAACGCACTACACCCTGTCATGCCAATGCGTTTTTTCTGCTGGGGGGGAGTCTACAAGTTATCCCGGCTTGCACGAGGCACACCTGCAAGAGCTTGCGGTGTTGCAGTCTGCTAGAAGCCTAGCAGATGCAATCCTCTACGCCGCAGGTGTCGTTGTGGGAGGCGAGTGGATGTGAATCCGAAACCAACACCGACTGGTCGGAATCCACAAAGCGGATGGTTCGGAAACCAGGAAACTGTTGAATAACTTAAGACCCTAGAGACAACAAGCTCTAGACCCCTGATTCAGGCGGGCAAGGATGCTCTGGGATGCTCTGGAAGGACACCGGCCGGCATGGATGCTCTGCTCTCCTCATCTCTCCTCCGGCCGACAGTCGTCTGGAACAAGCGTCCGGAACAAGCAGACCGGGATCTGGCATGGGCAGCGTGGAGGTTAGCAGGTGGGCCATCATGGCCACGGTCGCTGGCGCGGCATGGTTTCTGATTTATGCAACTCTTCATCCTGGGACCATGTCAGGCTCTAAGGCCTAAAGCGGCGGCTGGGTTCTAGTTGTGATTCGCACCCTTGTTGATCCGAAAATGTGCCGACCTCACATTCGGAAAGTCGCGCCTTGATGGCGCTCATGACGGGAGTGTCGCCAGGTCGCCTATCCTCTCAAGGGTGACATGAAGCAGTAAAGGGAGCCGCAGGGCGCCTCTCCGGAACCAGCTCTTGAGCACCATGAACAGACATGAACAGACATGAGAACAGACATCAATGAACAGACTACGGACCGCTCCTTGTGGGGTACGTTCGGGAATTACATGCTTGAAGAAACGAGATTTAAGAAACGAGAAGGATAGCTCGCTCGCGCTGTTGAAAGGACCATCCCAAATCTCCTTGGCAAAGTACCAGCGCCCGAAGACACCGCAGCAGGCAGTGTAGGCTGCATCCATAGCAACCATTCTGGGTCAAGTTTGCAACATCAAACTGGATGCCGACCCAGCTGACGTACTCGCTTCCCTCCCCCTTCTCTCTCTGCAGGCTTGGGGGACAGGCCTTCCCCCATGCACGTCGTGCACTGTATCTCGATCTCTTCTTTTTCTGCTGGGATACCATCTCTCTCTCTCTCTCTCTCTCTCTCTCTCTGCTGCTCTGTCCGAAAGTCACTGGCTATGCCTTCTGACACCGGAAGGCAAATTCACAGATTACTGCACATTAGTACACGCTGCTGCCTCCGAACTGAGCAAATGCCCCCAAAACACAACTCCACGTTCAGCACCAAGAAGCAAGCCCCAGTACTGGACGAAGCCGAAAACGAAGACGAACTGCAGCGGATGGTTGGCATGCGCATGCGCGTGCAGGCACGTGTGCGTGTGTGCACGCGTGCACGCGTGCACGCGTGCCAGCGTGCGCTTGCGCGCATGCGCGTGCGCGTGCATGCCTATGCGAGCGTGATTTTTCCAACGGGGAGGACTACACATCAGGGTGGCATGCGAAGCAGCAACAGCTCTGACATGGGTTTGCCTTTTGAAGAAGAGTTCCTCACAAAAAACCACAGCGCCTAAACCAAAAGTTCAACGCCCGACTTCTGACTGGAAAGAGACATGCGACCACCTACCGCGTGCAAAACGAGCCCAACACAATCCACCAACAACTTGTCAACCCGACACCCACTTGCCTTGCGCTAAGCATAACCGGCTAAGAATTGAAAACCTCAAGTCCCAAACCAGAATCCGAAACCCTCCATAACCTGGGATGCACGAGGCACGAGGCACGAGGCACGAGGCACGAGGCACGAGGCACGAGGCACGAGGCACGAGGCACGAGGCACGAGGCACGAGGCACGAGGAGCAAAACTAGGAGCCAGGCACCAGCTTTGGCGGGCGAGCTCGAGGCCTTTCCCTGCAAATTCTTTTTCAGAAATGTTGGAAGTTGGTGTGAAAGGGGGGGGGGGGGTGCGTCAACTTGACATCTTGAAAGCTTACAGGCTATTGTTCCAGGAAGGGGGCTAGGGAGAGTATTGCTGAAAGATGCTCTTGTTGCTTTCGATATGTACGAAGGCGTCTGCTGGTGCCATCAAGCTAGTAGACTCATCCCAGATCCGACAGCTTTACGGTGGCCCTCATCCCCATAGCCCCGATAGCCCCCATAGCCCCCGTAGTTCAGAAACCTGTGAGGCCTTTGTCAGCTTCGCCATGGCTTCTTCGTCGTGGATGAAGAAGGCGAGAAGGCTCATGCAGCAGAGCAGGCTCCAAGCACAGGACCTCCGTTTAAGATTACCTATGCGATTTTTCGAGCCCTTGTTACCCTAATGCCTGCTCACCTGGTCTCTTGAAAGCATGTCACGCTCCAAGCGACACATCGACTGATGTGAGGTGCACCCTAACCACGATGCAAGCCTCCCAAAACAAAGAAAACAGGATGGTCGCCTGGCTCGCTCAGTCTCAGCCGAGAGACATCAAGGCTCCCCAGATGGAGACAAACATCATCGACCTTGAGGATCGACCCCGCTTGCAGCTGCAGTCAATGTCACAGTAGGCTTGGGCGTTCATGATTCAATGACGATGATGCCAGCAATGTCGACAGCGACACAATTGCTGACGTTTAGCATAACCCTGCGTAGTTTGTTGGGATTGAGAATTGACATCTGTCCACAAGTCCTAAACCCAAGCTTTGCAGGTCGTCCGTCCTCCAAGAGAACTGGGCTATCGGCGTATGTATCTCCATGACTTTAATGATCGTCCTGGCCACAAGCATGTCTTGCACTTTTTGAGAAGCGAGCCATTCCCCTCCCACCCCACCCGTCCTCATGAGTGCTGCGGAGAATGGCACCAAGTCTCTCCAGCAACAGAGGACCTTCATTCCATCTGCTCACTGATCATATGTGCAACAGTACCCGAGCGGAAAACCACGAGTTGGTTGACGATTACAAGGGCGGCGTGTCAAGCTGTCGTCCATCTCGTCCAGGAGCACCCTAGGAACCACCTAAAACTAGACTTCGCAACCCGTGAATGACCCCAAACCACGAGGGACTTAATCAAATCTCCTCAAACATGTAAGAGCCGAGGAGCACAGACGAAGAAGCAGCAGCCCAGTGAGAACTTAATTGCGCCGATGATGCCTGCAACAGAGAACCGAATGTGAGCCCAACTGCAGAACATTGCAGAATACAACTTCGCTGTGGACTTCAACACTAAGGTTTCCTCAAAATTCCTCAACAGTAAACCCATGGACGTCTGAATGAAATCATCCAAACTCCATGTATGCTGCCAATAAACCTGGCCCAAAGCCCGAATAAATGACTAATTCCAAAAACATCAAAAACATAGTTCGCGAGGTTATAGATGTCATAGTCTTGCGATATCTTGTCAATAGTTTATCTTAATTGAAGTGAAAAAGAGCGAAGCTGGGCGGGACTTGTATGAATGAAGAAATGCAAAGTTTGGGTCTTTCTTCACACGGTTAGACAATAGGATTAGTAAGGGTTCTATCTCCAGCTCCAATAATGCGATGAAAGCATTTCGAGAATGGTGGTACGAATGGTATGCACGAAACCTGCGTCTCAAGGATCGCTTCATCTTGGTCATGTGATTAATGGCTTAGAAACCGTTCCTTGAAGCCTGTGAACAAGAGAGCACTTCTGGTGACAGCATATCTTGTATGGTTGTTGAGTCATGAGTGAAGAATCCAGGGTCAAGCGATGCTCTCCAAAACCCGGATAGTGAGGATCTGTGCGTCTGGGATAAAGCTTATTGGGAGCTGGCGAACGGAGGACCGGAAAAAAAAAAAAAAAAAAAAAAAAACGCGCTCACAAAATAATTTTCCACAGCATCTTCCAATTACGTCAAGGTCAGTTAAGGCGCCTCCGCCTCCGGCCCAGCAGAGCGTCCCTTTCCCAACCCCCAGAATTTGGAGGTACACCCCGTGCCCGCCCCCGCCCTCTCTGCCGCTCTCGCTGAAACTAACAAACAATTCTCGTACACCAAAACATTCATGTGAGGACTGCGACACTGTCCGGTGCTGCACGAAGCATCAAGCAAAAACGCGCAACTCTGCCACAACCGTGCCAGCTCTTCTTCAGCGCTGTTTTCTGCTAGTGGCGTCGCTAGCACACCTAATCTCCCGACGCCGTATGAGGCGACCCCTTGCCCAAGCGACATATGACTTTGGCTTTCCTTCGTCGGCGATGGGCAAAGCAGCGAACGTTCATGCAATAAATAACCCTTGTTTTTGTGATGATTGGAACGGGCATGCTCGGAGCTTTGAGCAAAAAGCTTAGATTGAGGAAACTTGTGCCGATGTTCGACGAAAGCAAGGGCATTGGGGGCTGACGGTCAGCAAGCTTTAGCACGGCTGGTGGGGGCAATCCCAGGGCCAAAGGCGCTGTTGGAGCCGTTATGGGTGATGAACGCGCCACGAAGTACTGCTTAATTTTTGAGGTAGGACTTGCGTAGGAGCTGAGGCTGGCACCAGAAGTCTGCAAACCGTCGCAAGAACGAAGCTACGGTGCCCATCGGTGCCCTGGAGAGGCTGCTTCGGCCTCCTCAAGCTGCCCGATGCCCAGACTTGCGAAGTCTGGTCTGCCCATTCTACCGCCCATCATGCGCTCCTTCTGCCAGCGTGATGGCGTATCTACCGATTCGGCGCCTTGCGTAAGATGTCCATACTGTGCAAACCATTAGCAAGTGTCTCCAGTGTAGACTCAGTGTAGCAAAGCAACCTTCGAGAGGCGGTTCAAAAATTTGGGGGAATGCAAAGGTGTCAATGACGGGTGCTCACGCTCTTTCTTTCTTTCTTTCTTTCTTTCTTTCTTTCTTTCTTTCTTTCTTTCTTTCTTTCTTTCTTTCTTTCTTTCTTTCTTTCTTTCTTTCTTTCTTTCTTTCTTTCTTTCTTTCTTTCTTTCTTTCTTTCCTTCTCTCTTGGGGGCATGAGGGCCCGAGGACCTCCCGCGCGATTCGCGCGCCCCAGATGCTTGGAGCGTCTGAGACAGTCGTGGTCTCTCTCTCTCTCTCTCCCTCCCTCCCTCCTGCAGCCTGAATTGACCTTCTTTGTTTTTCTTCGTGGGCTCACGTACACATCTCATGGCTGCGGAGGGCAGGTAGCGCTTCCTCCTCAGGCTGTTAGGCGGACACACTTCTCAGAACTTTCTTGGCACGTGACGAAGCAGACACTGTCCAACCGCTTTGGAGGGGAGGGAAAAAGAAGATGAGCAGCTGAAGGCATCGATGCCCTCAGCATGGATGCCTAACGCTGCACGCAGTGGCGCTCTCCGGAGAGAGAAAGAGAGAGGGAGAGAGAGAGAGAGAAAAAAAAATAAAAATAAATAGAACAAGAGAGAGAGAGAGAGAAAGGTAGAGAGAGATGGCGAAAGAGATAGAGGGAGGAAATGTTCATGTGCGTGTGTGTGTGTGTGTGGGTTGGAAAGGCATGCTCGGACTTTGGAAAGTCTGGGAGCCTGAGCACTGCTTGGCACCCGCTTCCGCCCAGCCTTTCAAATCCCGTTCAGAAGCGTTCGTGAACGCAGTGGCCTTATGTGGCCTTCACACGTGATGCCAGATCTGCTAGATGCGTTTTCGTGGCCGATCGACAGTGTGACAAAGTGTATGCAGTCACAGCCGAAACCTGAAGAAACCCTACATGCCTGACACGAGCAATGTATACAGGTAAACCTCCACCTCGACGCCTTCGACTGAGGCCACTTTCGTGGATTTTGAGAACTTCTCCGAACAACTTGGATTGGGCTCGGCCTGGCATCGGCCATTTGCCTTCCACTGGGACCATCATCAGTGCTCCAAGGACGATCATGACGCTAGGTCCTGGGCTTGCAAACAGTGCTCAACTCAAGCGGATCCCGGCGAAAGAAAACCCTTCGTAGGCCTTCCACTCTAGCAGTATTGACATGGTCGAGGTACCGAATCAAGCCGCCCCCCCCCTCCTTCCCCCCCGCCCCCCAACTTCATAGCATACAACTTGATCCCATCAACCCCATTTCATGGTATAGAAGAAAGGAAATCCCGTTTAGATTTGACAGCCAACTTGACTAGTGTGGCCAATCGATTTGGGAATAAAAGGCTCCGTGCAAACATATTTTCTCAGAGCTAAGGCCGTTCATTTGGATGAACAATGATTTCACTGTGAGTTCCACTTTGCTACGCGAAAGCGCCTGAGCCTAAGTATCCCAGAAGACACGCCGGATAGTGCCGGCATGTCAACCTTGCTTTGTTGCTTTGCTTTGCTTTGCGTAGTCGCAGACATGGATGGAAAAGGTGAAACGAGAACAAGGGATCCAACTGCGACTTCGACAGTGATAGAGGCGACCCGAAAGAATGTCAAACTGCCAATTCATTGGCACAAATGAACCCTAAAATACAGATCAGAGCACGTTCCGGGGCAACACAGCGTTTAGCGCAGCGTAGCAGGGGCTTAGAACCTAAGGTCACAAGATCACAAGATGTCAGCTGAGGGTCCCAAGAGCAGTGCGCACCAGATCACCAACTCGGAGAAGTGCTTGGCTAACTCGAGGAACACTAGGGAGGCCACAATCGACGCCATGCCTGCTAGGGCTGCTAGGGCTGCTAGGGTCCCTGAGTCCCTGAGGGATGTTGAAACGGGGAGTGCCTTCGGGCGTCGGGCTGAAGGCTTCGGAACTTGGCGGTGGCGCGGGGCACAAAAGTAGAGAGAGCTTTATGCGCCGGAACTGCTCCGAAACATTCCGAAATGCACTGCGCAATACGACTGGCCCATATCCACGACGTGTTGGATTTCCTAAGTCTATGTGTCTTGTCTTGAACCACCTGAGCCTGAGAGTTGAAGCACCTTGAGGGATCGCACGGGTCACTGGAATCCCCATACACTTATGCTTGGAACAGCCGCGCGCTGCTGCGGCCATACCCTTCATCTCCTATTCTCCAAGACAAATGCTTCTGCACCGTGCGCGCTTCATTGGCACTTTGAAGTGCGCAGTCGGCACTTGTGAGCATGGGAAGGCACTGGAGGCCAATCTGTGCACTTCAAAGCTGCGCCAATCGCCTGGTATGAACCGAAAAACGCCCATGAAGCGCACAGTGACGAATCTAATCTCGAAACAGAGTGGAGAGGGGCCTGCTAAACTCCAAAAGGCTGCCGCGTCGCAAGGTTTCGTGGACAAGTAAATTGTTCCAAGTGCAGAAGCCGCTCTTCCCTGAGGTTAATACACAACAAGAAACAACTGCAAGGTCGGTTCCCGACGACGCCCGTCATCTTGTTTTTGGGTTGTAGTTTCGAGGGCACTTTACCCTGACAACGCCTGTTGTCTCCAGAAAGGTTGCTACCTTTCACGGGTGACTTGTTGCCGGTCTGTTGCCGGCTCTTGTTGGGCGAGTGCCGCGAGTGCTGCGCACAGGCTCGTCCAGTTCAAGTATCATCCTTCAAAAACATTCGAGATGCTCTTCGCCAATTGTCGGACAAACTGCGCAGAATACCCAACTTGCCTGCCGCCACTAGGGAGTAGGCGCCCGCAAACAAGTTCTTCTCGTACCTGCAAGAGGCTCTTCTTCGGGTCTTCTCAACCCATGGACTTCAGATTCCAAGAGCAGAACCATTCTTTTCCTAAACGCTCCAATCCTGAAGTGTCGCCACTCGCTGAGCCTGTTAATTGCAATTAATTAAGCTGCAGCCCCAGGCTCTTGTGGAGCTGCTCGGAGACTTTTGCCTGGCATCCCTGAACCCTAAAAATCGACACAAGTCTTGGTGGCCGGCCCTACAGGTTTCCAAGACAAGCTACTCAGAGCATCAAGTTTAGGAAGTTGTCTCGTGCCTTGCAGGGATGACAAGCTAAGAAGCGTCCCTTGTGTTTTCCCTTGGGGTTTGCCGGGTATCAGGATCGGCTTGGGTGAGCCGGTAGAAAGGAGGCTGGAGACAATCCAACGTCGACAATGCTGTCGACTGTGGCCCCTGTGCGCATGCAATAGAGACGTAATACTGAGTAGTAACACTGCAGAAACCATACTGAGAATACGAGAAAGAATGCTGATGATGAAGGTACACTTCAACAACGGCACATTCGTTCGTGTTGAAAGGTTCTGGTTTCAGGTCTGCGGCATGGCTGGCGCGGGCATCAGCCACATGAACGCTCTGGTCTGGTGAACGCTCCGGTGGCTCTTGCAACACGGACCAGAAAAGCTATCAAAGCCCAACCCGAAACATCCCGAAACACAAGGCCATTCAGACCCAGTGGCTACTTGCCCTTGGTCTGCATCCGCCGTGGCAGCTACCTCGGAACCGTGAGTAGCATGCACTGCAACGACAAACTGCAGCTGTGCACCAGGATAAGCTGTGGCAGCTACGATGCAGGATCCGCACCACCAACACAAGAATCCTGCAACGAGTATGCAGACAGTTGGGCTACCACCACGGGGTTTCAGAAATGGTTGGGGTTCGCCGCACCTTTCAACTCAAGGCTGCACAGTGCAGGCGTCACACGTCATCTGTGAGGACATGACACAGATGACATTGGTTTCATGAGCCATCATTCGCTTGACAGCCCAGCGGGCCTGCAAGCGCGTAGAATGCCAGAGCCCAAATCACGTCCTTAAGGACATGTGACATGCAGCAGGTCTGCTTTGGAACTAAGGCAGAGCGCAGTGTCAACAGATCTTCAAAATGGCCGGCAAGGGTGTGCTCTTCATGTCATCGGGTCCGTCGTAGCTCGGGCTGTTCCGTTAGCTTTTCTGATTTTGCCGTCTGTTTCGCGACGGCTTCACTGCTAAAACCCACTTCGATCAGTTCGACCACAGCCAACTCCCCGAGCCCTGGCACCCACGCGGCCCACAGCCCTGAGAAATGAAGTGTCATCCCAGTCCCAGGCACCCTGCAAGGCCGCTTGGAGTCTTCAAAAGGTTCCTTGTCCTGCATCATGGAGCCGCCTGCGGGCTGGTAGAGTGGAATACAGAGTGACTAAGCTGGCACTTTTGGGGCTTTAACACCTGTGGAACTAATGGACGTTGACAAGACACAAGCTGCTCCAACGCCCCAAGATTTCTAGTCATGGGAGTGGGACATGAAAGCCCAGCTTGAAACCCTGCAGGCCTCGTCTGAGTTCTGCATTCTCATGTGTTGAAAGCTCGGACACTCTTACAGACTGCCGCCCCATGTCTCGACCTGGTCAGGGGGCTGCAATGCCTCTATCTGTCTGAAAACATCTTGAACCAGTCTGCCCCTCTCGCTATGTCCATGTATCTTTGGGCCCAACATATATACACGTATGTATTTGAGAGAGAGAGAGAGAGAGCGCGAGAGGTCGGGGAGAGTAAGCGAGGAAGAGTGGCGAGTGGCCCTGTGCCATCCGGAGTCCACTATTCGCAGGGCGGCCAACTGAAGGATCAAAGCAGGATTTGAACGGGGCGTCAACGTGTTGTGCTTGAGGGCAGCTCGGGCACGCATTCCTGGTTTATCTGGACAACTCGATCGTGCCGGCACGGAAGCTGTGCGAACGACAGGTCGCCCCATGTGCATCACCATCACCACATATCCCCACCATCATCCTCCTCTTCATCAGAGTCACAGCATTTCACAGCACAAAAGTTCACGAGGAGCCACGGGATGAAGACGGGGCACCACAGCCCCGTGCATGTGAACACTGCAAAACGCAAGAGACAAAGCGCGAGACAAATGCAAGGCGAAAGCAATATCTATTTGCAGGCAAAACCCACAAAAACACTTTCATTCAGATGGAGCACCGGCACTGTTCCGGCTCCCGAGAAATCTCCTGTACAGTACAGCACCGATCTTCTGCCCAGAATTTCTGCACCTGAATGAAGGCGTTGATCGTCGCAAAGAGTTCGCGCTTTTCATGGTTGTGCATGCTGCATGCGAGACCGACTTGGCGATGATCTTGATCCGGAACGTACGTCCGACAAGAGTCCATAGAAGAGTAGAACAGCCGCCTACACAAAAACAACGAAGAAACAATGTTGTAGAGGGCTTTCGAAGGACCTTGCAAAATTCGGCTCTGGCTTTGGAATGCTGGCCATGCCGACGCCAAGGCTTCAAATGTCTTCAAACATACACCAGCGATGCTCTATCAAGTAGCAGCAGCACGCTTGGCAGAAAACACCGTGCTTGCCAAAGCCTTGCGTTGGGGAGAAGGAAGTGATGTTTCAAGTTTTTGGAATTCCTCGTCGAACCTCTGTCACGCCTCTGTCTTTTATTCCAGAAAACCCTTTTGGGGTTGGGTTCTTGTTGAGTGAGTTCTCCATCGCGAGAATCGAAGGCGCGATATCGGATGGCGTTCTGACGGTATAGCTGCGAAGAGGAGACGGTCAACGGAGGAGATGGTGTGGCGGAACGCGGGGAGGTTGACGGAGAGGGCGCGGGGAGGTTGACGGTGCAGAGGGAGTGGGGAAGTTGATGTGGAGTTTGACGGGGAGGGCACGCGATTGTGATGGTTGTGACAGTAAAGAGATGCATAGAGGCCGCGAAGTTGACGGACGGGGAGTAGACAAGGGGGGAGCGCCATATTCGGTTGACGGGACAGTGCTGACAAGCGTCGACAAGCGGGAGGGAGTGTGATGATATCGAGTTGACGGGGAGGCCGCAGGGGAGCCGTAGACGAGGGTCGGTTGATGGGGGCTCTGAGGGCGTTGACGGAGCCCGAAGGGGAACGGGGAGATGAGGAGGCCGTGGGACGAGGCACAGCGCGATATTGGTTGATGAGAAGGCTATGGGGGAGCCGCAGATGGGGGGGGGGGGGGTGGGGGGCGTGCGATATCCGCAAAGTCTGGGGAAGCACAGACAAGGGGGAACAATGAAGGTTTGGGAGGGGTGGACAAGAAAAGGGAGCGTGATATCCGCTTGACGGAGGAGGGAGGAGAGGCTAAGATTTGACGATACCCGGTTCATGGGGCCTACAAAGGCTGAAGCGGTCAACCGAGGACTTGACTGCGGGGCGGGTCTTGGAAGAGTTTCTACGAAGACTAAACGATCAATGGAAGACTTGACGGGACCGGCGTGGTCAGACGGAGGAGAACTTCAGAGGCAGCTCTCCTGGCGGAACACCGCCTTTCTGCAGTGGCAACAATCGAGAGTGACAGACAGAGAGAGAGAGAGAGAGAGAGCGAGCGAGCGAGCGAGCGAGCGAGAGAGCGAGAGAGCGAGAGAGCGAAAGAGCGAAAGAGCGAAAGAGCGAAAGAGCGAAAGAGCGAAAGAGCGAAAGAGCGAAAGAGCGAAAGAGCGAAAGAGCGAAAGAGCGAAAGAGCGAAAGAGCGAAAGAGCGAAAGAGCGAAAGAGCGAAAGAGCGAAAGAGCGAAAGAGCGAAAGAGCGAAAGAGCGAAAGAGCGAAAGAGAGAGAGAGGCAGAGAGAGAGAGACAGAGCGAGAGAGAGCGAGAGCACGAGCACTTAAATTGTTTAAGTTTGAACCTGCGTGGGCTCACCGTTGAACCGTCCGATGGCCAATCCGATGGCCAAGCCTTCAATCCCAGACAAGACCTCCAGAAAACCCAAAGTCTCAACATCTCAGCACTTCCCAAACCTCGTGTGGGGTGCGCTTGGCAAACAGAACAGTTCTGCTAGCACCAGAGGTGCTTGAGCCGACCACACAGGGGGGTCCTCAAAGGCGGAACTTACTAGTAGGAGTCCTACTGAAGTGGAGTTCTGGGCCTGCGATTTCGTCTCGGCCACTCCTCGGCAAAAAACTGCACATCCTGCACCACCATATGCCTAATTCCACGCCCGCCCTAGGCCTTAGACGCTCCAGAAGCAGCAAGAGATCTCTCTGACCGCGTGTGTTTTGCACGTTTTCTTCGCGTGGCTCTTTGTCGGCTGGGTCTTCCGGGTTCGGGTCGGGACTTCACCCGGAACCCCTCTGAGTGCCCGAGGCTTAGTTGGGGGATGTTGAGGGCTCGTGCTAGACGTTGGCCTTCTCAGCCCATGTCCGAAACCAGAACGGCGGCATCCGGCCAGCGACTTGGTGCGGGGCTTGGTGCGCTAATGTGCGCTAATGTGCGCTACTAGAGTCAAAAAAGGACTGTTTGGGCTTTGGGATCTTCGGGAGGACAAAAGGAAGGAGGGGGGGGGGGGGCAACCGAAACCCTGCCAGCTTAAGCCGAGTCATTCAGCAAATCCAAAGGTCCAAAGCCCTCAAAACATCTCGCGCGCACTAAGCTGCGTGTGGAGCGTGGCCACGAACGCGTCGCCTTCCGAACCCCCAGCTGCCAGCGATGGGTCCTTACTGGCTGTCTAAGATTCCCGTTAGCGGCCTGTCCAAGCGTGAAGACGTATGGTTTCACAAAAACAGGTGTTTCTAATCAGGCTGAAATGAAAATATGTGACCATGTCTTCCATCTCGTAGACCAAGGTGCGATGTCACTGACTTCCACTGACACCGACTTCAATGTGGGACCCGGTGGATCCTCTGGGCTTCGGGATGGTCTTCAATTTAGCTTGAGCTTCGGGATCGGCTTGCGGTCGAACTTGTTTGCATCGAGCCCTTCGAGCTCTCAGCCTCTAAGGCCAAGAAAAGTTCCGATGGCTTCGCTATGACCGCCATGAGCAGGCTTGGCACCTAATTAGAACTGCCTGCCACGCACCTGAACTCGAAGGCCACCCTCCATAAGGCTTGAGGCTTCCCGGGCTTCCCAGGCTTCCCAAACTCCCCAGGCTTCCCAGGCTTCCCAGACATGGACTACATTTGATTCCTGGCCGTCGTAGAGGAACAGCTTGATCTTGCTGGATGGCTTTTCGACTGATGCTGTGACATTGAACTGTCCGCCTCGGGCTTCCCATCAGCGCTTCGGGGTACTTCCGGCAACTCTTCGGTTGGAGGGCCGCTTGACGCAAAAATCGTCTCCAAAGATACGGAGTTCGTCACGGCGTCATGCTATTCAACTGCCTATCCTGGCGAAGAATGAATAAGCCACAGAGCCCTGACACTAGCCATGTGCACTCTGATGCATGAGCCGAGCTTCTGATCCACCGCCGAAAATCATCCCACCTCACGAATGGTCATGTGAGAACAGTTGACCCAGGAGCCTGCAGCATGGTGCATGGATCCCTGGCTTCAGGCGGACCTGATGATGCCCTCGTTTGTCGTGTCATGTCATGTCTTGTCATTTTGTTCATGTCTTGTTCATGTCATTCACTCCGGATCACGAAGATGAGACTTTTGTAACATTTAATGAATTTAATGGCATTGAATCCGAGGCTGCCTTGTGTCCGTTTATCGCGGGGGCACTGTTTGATTCGCGTTGCGTGTGAAGATCTTGAAGCTCTGATCATGTAGCTTCGCACGCCTGAAGTTTTGAAGCTCTGAAGGTTTTAGCTTCGCGAGCTTCGCGCTTTGTCTGGCAATCTGAATCCATCTGAAACCTTTCAAACCCGGCCACGCAAAACCTGAACACACCAGGTCCCAAGCAGGATGACGTCTTCTCGGACCATTTCTCGTTGGGCTTCTGGCTGCATCTTCACCTCTCTGGGTCTGGTTGAACCGGATGTCAAGTCGGACGTGGCAAGCTCTGATTCAAGGCGAGAGTGGTCGTGTTAATGAAGAACCGAGGCACGTCGATGCCCAGAGCCTCAAGCATCTTGCCTCGAGGCACACGTAAATCCAAAGCTTGGAGCTTGAGAGTTTTGGAATGTTTCGGCATGTTTCGGTGCTTGGGTTGGCTGATGGGGGCTACGTGTGCTGAATCGGAGAGAACCCCTTGCTGCGGTATGGAGAGTCGAGCTTTCCGCCAAGCTGCTCAGGCTCGAAGACATCGCAAGGCCGCCTCTTCTCAAGAGAAGGAAAAATTCGGAAGTTTTCAGCACTGTTTTGCAGTCTGGATCTTGACAGGCTGCTTCTTGAGACCGTGGAATTGTTATGTCTGAGGCCCAAACCAACGCTCGAGAATAGTTGTAACCATCGGACTGTGGCTTTTGACACTACGTGTTCTCAAGACTTAGCAGTCACTTAGCTGTGGGGAAGCCCCGCCTTCATCGATGGAATTCTCGACGAAGACTTTCCTCACTTGCTGCTCCAGGCTTGCCTCACAGCTCTCGTCCGACTGTCCAACTGTTCCCACGCCGATCGGGCCGATGCCCTCTTGCCACAGCGTAAAAAATCCAAACTGGGATGCAAAGGAAAGATAGAGAAAACCTCCAAGCCCTGCAGATCCTACATCCTTGCGCTTTTGCGGGCCTTACCCTTGCACATGCGCCTCGTCGCTAAGCTGCGAGTCGGACCGGTCTGCAGAGAAGATCATCCTGGGTTCCAAATAACATCATTCCACCAACAATACGGACGATATACCAACTCAACGTCTTTGGACTCAAACGGATTAGTGTTTGGCGGTCTATGTACCCGTAAATCGCAAGTCCTCGGACAAAAAGTGCAGAGCCTGTACGTACGTGCTCGCAGAACTGGCATCTGAAATGCTTGCCAGAATCGTGTAGTGTGTCGGAGATCCCAGCACCCAGATAGGGAAATCGGGATTCTTGTAAAGCCTCAGACTGCGAGCAAGTGTCTTTTGCAGGTTTGGGGAGTCAGGAGCTCGTAGGAGCTTGTTGTACAAGTGGCTAGCTTAAGTAACTCACGTCTTTGCATGTGAAGTCACATCTCCCCAGCGACACGCGGCTGCGAGCGAAGAAGTCACATCACCCGCATAAATTCGCATCACAGAGACATATGTTGAAGCCTTTCCCCCAATGTGCGCGCGCCGCACGCGCATGTTCTCAACGCACATGCAAAATACGCACTTCTCAGCGCAGGAGCACGTTTTTGTCAGAGTGAATGAAATTTCTGCTTGCGGGACCAATCGTGCACGCGCCCGAGATACGACTGTACACAAGAAGATACGACTTAACCTACCCCTTGTACACACACAATCACATAGTGTCTCAGGCTTCGGAATGCTCACTGGACATGTATACAAGGCATGGGAACTGAGAGAGCTCGAAACACCAGAGAGACAGTCTCAACAGAATCGACAAGCCTGAAATCAAAGCGTCCTTTGTACGGTGTGCTTGAGGGCTCGGGAGACAGGCAGACATGGAGAACCCTAAGAAACTCCGATATGCAAGCGAGTGATGCTCTGACATGCTTTCAAGGTGTGTAGCATGTTTCTGTGCGAAAGCCCATAAATAGCATCCATCGCAGTCCGGGCGCAGTCCCACTGAAAGGTATCTCCTCTGCTCTGCAAGGCGCTGACTTGACATACTCACCCACAAATCATCTCACCACTGACCCCTGACCCCCAACAAACTCAAGCACGAAAGAAGCCGGAATAAAAACCAAAAGTACAAAGCACGCTCTGAATCACTGCCTAGAATCATGGGCTCCAGCTCGCTCAGGAAGCCAATCGGCGGCAGGCCCACCCGCTCGCTGTCAACGCCCCTGAGAGGCTCCCCCAAAGAGAAAAAAATCTAGATTTCGGAATGGCTGTCCTTTCCAGGACTTACAAAAGCAACTTGGCACTTGCAGGTCCGGAGAACTCCAAAACCGCCCCGCACTCCCACGAAATTCCACGCAGGTGGCAGGTGGCACCTGACCAAGAATCCACTGGAAGGATCGTCTCCTAGCCATCTCGTACCATCGAAGACGTTCCTAAGCTCGAATCTTCCAGCTGAAAAACTAAGAAGATATCTGGTGAAGCAACGTTTCCGACAGCACCGGGCATTGGCATTGGCTTCCTACGAAACAGACCAACTTCGAATTTGCAGAAGCTCCCACTTATCAATTACTGGATGAGAAAGGTGTGCTTCATTCAAGTCTGGCTGACGCGATAACACCAACTCTCCAGACATTATCTGAGTCCTGCTTCGGGATCACTCTATATCCGCCGACCCCCCTAAGGGGTTGGCGTCCATGAAGTCTTCGTCTGCACGTGTAAGCAATCCTCTCATAGCCTACACTTTGCCCTCCCCTCTTCCACCCCTTTCCACCCCCCTCCACCCCTTTCAAAGTGCTGCAACGCATGCCAAACTCTCTCCACTCTCTCCATCCCCCCACACCCCGTACTTCCCCCCACCCCCTCCCCCCCTCCACCCCCTCCACCCCCCTCCACCCTCCACCCCTCCTCCACCCCCTCCACCCCCTCCACCCCCTCCACCCCCCACCCCTCCCCCCTCCCTCCACCCCCTCCACCCTCCACCCCCCCCTTCTACCCTCCACTCCAATTCAGTACTCATTACTTTTAGAGGGCTCCTTTGCATGCCCTATTGCTTTATTGGTTTTCTATTTGTTTTTATTGGATTTCTATTGGTTTTTACTGGTTTTCTATTGGATTTTGTTTGTTTTTATTGGTTTTTCTTGGTTTTTATTGGTTTTTATTGGTTTCTATTGGTTTTCTATTGGTCTTTATTAGTTTTCTATTGGTTTTTATTGGTTATCTGTTGGTTTCTATTGGTTTTCTATGGGTTTTTATTGGTTTCTCTTGGCTTTTATTCATTTCTTATTGGTTTTCTACTGGTTTTCTATTGGCTGCTTTTGGCTTTCTATTGGTTTCTATTGGTTTTTGTTGGTTTTCTGTGGTTTTTATTGGTTTTCTATTGGCTTTCTACTGGTTTCTACTGGTTTCTAATGGTTTCTATTGGTTTCTATTGGTTTTCTATTTGCTGTCAATAGATTCATATAGGGTGTGATCGTATAAACCGTATACAATACCCTAAACCCTAAACCCTAAACCCTAAATTTTAAGGGCGCAAGCACCCGTGCGCGCCAGCGCAATTTGGCGCTTGGATTGCCCAGCAGCCAAAGCGAAAGAAGACTGGTTTCCGACTACGATGGTAAAGAAGGTTTAAATAAATTGAACGCGTTCGCAGAAGCGGGGTTCCAAAGGGCGCCCAAAAGTGCTTCAAAAACGCTTCGAAAAGTCTAAATGGCCACCAAAAGGCTCCAAAAGGCCCTCCTCTGTTCTCATTCAATGAAGGGCGAACATACGGTACATGGCCCTCCTCGGCTATCCATCAAATAAAGGCGAACATAAGGCTTCCAAATCTTCTGCGCAGAAGCGACGAAAAAGGCCTGACGAAAGGGGCCCGACCGAAAAAATGGTTCGGGGCCTCTAGGGCTCCCAAAAAACGCTTCACAACGCTTCCGGAATGACCGCCAAAAAAGGCTTTGTTCTCCTTGAATTAAGGGCGAACATAACCTCCTCGGCTATCCACCAAAACGCTTCCGACAGGTCTAAATGGCCACCAAAAGCCCCTCCTCTGTTCTCCTTCAATCCCCCTCCAACCCCCACCCTCTCCACCCCCCCCCTTCTCCTCCACACTCCCTCGGACTAAACAGCCTGAACCACCCTGCATTTCCTGGTGCTCCTGTCCTGTTACGACTTTTGTCTGCTCCTGTTTGTGCTATGTTGCAACTTGTTCTGCTCCTGTTTCTGCTATTTCTGCGGATACTTTTCTGCTGCCTTTAGCCATGCTTGGATGGCCGACTTTTCGGTGCGATGCACACACACACACAAAACAAAAGCAATCTTACTGCCTCGACGCAGCACGCTCTGGCCAAAAGGAGGACGCAGGAAGCATCCTCCTGCTGCCAGTCCGAACTCGCGATGGCAGTGCGTGCGGAATACCCTGCAGCTGAGCAACGGCGGAACGCAATCACTGCTGCTGCAACGGCTAGGGCGAAGACGGCGCCTGGATTTCCAGGCTTGGAGGGCGTCACATTCAAGAGCTGGCTGCATTGCGCCCAGCCGCGGCATCGTACACTCCCGTCGCTTCGTAGGTCGGGCCCTGCAGGGCAGGCGTTCCCGACAAGGGCCCGCTGGCGCTGACTCCCACCACAGCACTGCCTCGGCATGAGTACAGGGGGCTTGATTCCCTGCCGAGTTTGTGGATTGCTGTTCCGTGAGAGCGCAACCTGAACACACCTGAACCACCATTGGGAGAGAAATTTGGCGCGAAGCCCTCAGTGTTTCTGAAAGGCCGTAAGAAAGCTTGGGCGAAGGGGCCGAGATCTGATTTAGAAAGCCTGCGTCTTCGCCCGCGGCGCTTCCTTTACCCGCAAGAAGTAGGGGCATCTGAGGCGGCAGCCGAAGTCTGCCAGCTGTGCTTTCCACGAGAACAACAGGACGTTCGCAGACTTCACATCCCTGTGGAACACCGTTTCAAGCTGCCACATGAAATGTCGGTTGGTTTGGGAAACCAAGATCCAAGTCTTGCTTGAAAAAACTGCTGGACCGATGACTTACGGACTCACGCACACACAGAGCCAAGTTATTCACACCTCCCTCGCTTGCGAGCACGGGCTGAGGCAGGAGCTGAAGCACTCGGATTACAAGCGATGGACCTGACGAAAAAACATATCACCCCATCGACATAGTGCAAAATCTTCCCCTGGCCCAAGCTCTTGGCTCCCATTCCTTTTGCAGAGCGGCGACGTCCACATCAGCACGCGCAGCCCACCTTCGAAAGCGTGAACTTCGACACGATTGCTACATGCACACTGCCCCTGTGCGTTGATATAGGGCTGCAGGACAAACAAAAAAACTGTGCCACATGCGCCTGGAAAAACAGACGGCCCGAAGCGCGGTCGCGAGCGACCAGTTGCCGGGACTCCTCAGCGACGTCTGAAGCACCTCGCAATGCTTTGGGGGATCTGCGTTTGAGGGGCTTACGCAAATTCAACAGGTTTGCAGATTGGAGTTCTGGTGGGCAAACTTGAAAAGCCTTCCAACCAAGGCCAAAAGGCTCTCTCATCCTTCACAGGCAAGAGTTGAGGGCCTTCTGCGTGACGACTGAGCCATGCATCTTCAAGGACAGCTTCACAACGGAATTCCACCATGGCCTCTGGAGGCACACAACAAGTGGGACGCGCCGCACCACGCTCGCAGCGCAATTAAGTTGGTTGTGGCGGTTCCAGGTGCTCTGGCCGCAGTTTGTAGCTGTCGCGGTTGGGCCATGCAGACCGTGCTCTGGCGATCTCGAGTCTGTGCCCACGGCGCTTTCTGCATCTTGCAATGCTGGAGACGGAATCTAAAGGAGTAGTCACATCATTGGCCGAGGGTCTCTGAGCTGGTCCTGGGCGCAGATGTCCAGCAACTTCTGCACCTGCACTCCCAAAGCTGATCTTTGCGCTCGGCCGCCTCGGCGGTCTCCAGCTGTGCCTGTCGGGTCTGACACGGCTCAAAACTCCGAAAAGCCAGCTTTTCTGAGCCGCGCGCCCGCAAAGAAAGGCTGCCTTCTGGCGTGCAAGCCTGACCGAATCAGGCATGTTGCTCACAACAGTCAAGCACTGCGGATTTGCTTCAAGCAGAAAAATCAAGGAAATTTCGGCAGCATGGACATATTAATGTCATATAAAACATGATCTTCTTTCGTGAGATGCCAAAGCATGAAGCTTTTCGTACACTGTTTGTCTTTCAAACTTTGACTTGCATTTGTGTGTGTGTGTGCTCCAAGTATTACACACCAAGGCAAACATACGTACACTGTCATTTAGCAATTGATATGCAACATCTCTCTCTCTCTCTCTCTCTCTCTTATATATATATATATATATGCTACCCCCCCCCCCCCGGGTTATCCACGCTTTTTTGTGGTTTTCCACGCTTTTTGTGGTTGCGAGCCAATTAGATCGCTCACGGGCCGCGGTGACCCCTGAACTCCCCCCCCTCCTCCAATAGCCCAATCCCCTACATAACGTAAATGCATGCAATCCTTGAGATGTCGAGTCCTCTCCATCTGTCCAAACACTGGGCACAGCGACCTTCTCCCCTCCCCTCCCTTCCGCTCCGCTGCGCTCCCTGGTTCTTGCAAAGGCTTTTTTTCAGGGCTAAATCTCTAAACCCCTATCGGTTCAGGTTTAAGTCTTATAAAAAGAGAGGCACTGAAACCCTATAGGGTTTAAGGCTTCAAGCCGATAGGGTTTAGGGTTAAACCTGAACCTGAACCTTTAGATCCATAGGGTTTCAAGGTTAAGCAATTACACCTAAACCCTTAACCTTTAATCCTATACAGTTATTAGGTTTGAAGATTTTAAGATCTAGGTATTTAAACCTAAGCCCATAGAGTTTAAACCTAACCCTAAACCTGCACCCTTTAGGGTCAGAACCCGAAAAGCCTATAGGGCTCTACAAGGCTGAAAAGTTTTAACCGCATAGGCGCTGAAGGTATACATGCCCAGACCTTAGGTTTTCAAACCTTTAAATCCCATAAAGTCTAAAAGTTTAGGGTTTTTCAAGGTATCTCTAAAGCCCTCACGGGGTTAACCCGATAGGGTTTAAACCCTATAGGCCTATAGGGCTCAACAGTTTAGGGCTTTAGGTTTAGGCATTGCCTATAGGATTAGAGCCTGAAAAACCCTATCAGGCTTGAGGCTTAATTCCCTAAACCTAAAATCCCACATGGTTTTGCCTCTGTTTATGGGGCTTGGTGGAAATGCAAAGAATAAGCAGAATAAGTACCCACACCATGTATCGGATTCAAAAGTTTAGGGGTCTTAAAGGTTCATAAGCCCATGGAGATAAACCGTAAGGGCTTACGGCTTAGGCAGTTGAATCTAAATCCCAAGCCCTTTTGGATCAGAACCCTGAAAGCCTATGGGGCTCTAAAAGCCTCAAAGGTTGTAGCCCTATAGGCTCTGAAGGTATACATGCC